GGCGGAAGCAGTTCCCCTCCGGGGCTGAGGTTGGCCTTGCACCTTTTGATTGCCCCCCTTTTCCTTTATTCAGCCGCGGTGAGAAGGAGGAACCCGGTGGAGTCGCAGGCGGGCGGGCACACGCGCGGGACGCACGGGGGCCCGAGCGGCTCAGGTCCGCAGCGCCCGGCTCCTGAGCTGCGGGCGTTTCACATTTACGAGGCCTCGCGGGCCGGGCGGCCGTTTGTGCTTCTGAGCGATGGCAGAGCGCAGGGCGCCCCAACAACCACCGCCGGCAACTCCCACCTCGAGGCCCAGGCAGGAATGCCCCGCTGGGGTGGAGCCCAGAGGAAAACCGGGCAGGTGGGTTTCCGCCCCACACTGTGGGCGACCCAGAACAGTGAGGGCTTGGAGCCCGTCAATGAGGTTTGGCCACGTGCAAGGGCTCAGACGGGAGGCTGAGGGCCACAGGCCCACCTGGGACACCCCCATGTTTGCCCACTCACTCCTCTCCCCTCCCAGGGTGGAGGCCCCAGGATGGGGGTAGATATGGCCGGGCCCAAGCCCGCCCACCCTTTTGGTCCCAGACACCAGCACAAAGAAGGGATGACAGAGGAAAGGACGGTGGCCTCTCCCAGGCCACCCCAGGAGAGGGGCACGGCCCTGCTGCTCTGGGAGAAAGAGCCCCCGTGTCTGTAAACTGCTGGGCCAGTTCCCACCTGCCCCTGTGCGACCCCAGCCTAGGCCCTCGTGTGGCTGCCAAGTGGCCCCCTCCTGCCTCTGGCGTGACAGATGCCAGAGCCCACATTTGGCCCCTCCATTTCAGGCTGGCTGGGCAGGGCTGGGAGTGGCAGGGGACTTCCCGTCTTGATTTGAGGGTGTCCCCACCTTCCCACAGGAAACACAGCAAACATTGTACACTAAGCCAAAAGCACCTTGGGGAAGCCTTGTTCCCACTTCACAGGTAGGAAGACCGAGGCCACAGGAACCTCGGTCCTACAGCCCAAGGGACATTCATTCCTGAGGACACGGTCCCCCTCAGGGCAGTGCCTGCCCAGAGAGTGGTCTCCAGGCCCTCGGGCTGCCTCTCAGTCTATGACACCTCCCAGCAGCACCCCAAGTCTCCAGCCTGATTCCCATTGGGCTACCAGGGGCCTCATCTCCAGCCTGGACCTGGAGTCACACTCTCCAATTCTGGGTTGGCTGGGGCCCCAGAGACTGGAGTGAGGTTAGTGGTTAGTCCCAAGAAGGGTGGCAGGGGCCGAGGGCACATTCACAGCCAGCTTGGGTCCACCCCCAGGCCAGCTCTGGGACACTGTGCCTGTCCTGGAAAGGGAACAGAGAATGGGGCGCCGCTCGGCCCGCAGCCTCGCCTGCCCTAGAGATGACAAGTGTGGTTAGTGCAAAAAACGAACCAGAAGACGCCGCCAAGTCTCTGGGGTGGGGGAGGGGTTTTGGCACCAAGAAGGCGGCCAGCACTGGGCGAGCAGCCTGGGCTCAGCACGGCACCTGCTGTCTCCTGCCGCCACGGAGGGCTGGGTGCCATGGGCAGGGCAGGCGCTGAGGGGGAGAGCAAGGCTGGGAGAGAAGGCAAGAAAGTGGGGCCCTCCCAGGAGGCTTCAGGCAACTGACCAAAGAGGAGCCTGGGGCAGGGCGGGGTGGGCAAGAGAAGGAAGGGCTACGGATCCGCAGAGAGGCAAGTGGTCCCCACACACGTGGGAGCCAAGCAGGCAGGCGCCCGTGGCCTCCCTCGACGCCCAGCAGAGACTGACGCTGCGCTGCCTGTGAACCAAGAGGTGAGGTGCAGAGACGTGGTGGGGGCAGGAAAAGCAGCAGAGCTGTGGGAGGGCAGGGGCAGGCGGGCGCCAGCCCAGGAGACTACAGGGCTCCGTGGGGACGGCGTGCTGCAGACGGAGCGGCAGGGACAGCACCAGCACCACACACCTGGCCCAGAGCAGAGCTCTGCAAATCCCCAACTCCAGGGGGCTGAGGGGCATGGCGGCAGGGGCTGGAGGGCCCAGGTATTGGAGCAGCACCCCTCCGTGTCCAGGTGCGTGACCCTGGAGGAGAAGGTTTGGGCCCCTGGCCCCGTCTCCACCGGCAGGACTGAGCCAGGCATCTCCACGGCCCTGCAGGAAGGGGAGGAGGGGTCGAGTGGCCACAGAGGTGCCTGCAGCGGGCCTGGCGTACATGCGGAGGGTCCGGCAGGGGACCAGGGAGTAAGCAGCAAGGCTGGCACAGGGAGGAGCAGGGCGATTGGCACGTGGGGCAGGCGGCGGCCGGGCGGTCTAGTGCCCGCTGCTGCTGGGGTCCGGGCGAGGCTGGCTTGTGGCGAGGTACTTGGCTCTCATGCTGGAGGTGTACTGGAAGGAGACAGAGGGGCAGGCGGTCAGTGGGGCGCTGGGCATGGCTGGACATGGGCCTCGGGGGGTGAGCCAGGAGCACCCCTGGGGCGGGATAGGTACAGCTGACAGACCCTGGGAGGAGGGGCTCTGGGAAGCGCTGGCTGGTCCAGGGCCTGGACTCCTGAGCCCTGCCTCAGTGACAGCCCAAGGGAGCAGAGGTCTGGCCCCTACTTCCGAGGCTCAGGATGGGGACACTGGGGACCAACCTCCTCTCCCAGGAAGATAAACACATCAGCCCCCAATCTCCTGTCTCAGGCCAGGCAGAGCTCTGCTCCCTGCAAGACCTGGGGCCTGGAGGCCCCCCACCTGCACCCCTCACACCCAGGACCTGAAAGCCATGCTCAGCCTCTCTCTGTGGGGCCCTGGCTGGGCACCCAGGAGAACAGTGTCAGGCAAAGGTGGGGCCAGGCTGTATCTGAGAAAGGGTCAGACCAGAGCCGTGGGCCACAGGAGTGAGGAGGCTCCGGGGCCACTCTGCCCCATCACCTCGGGGAAAGGGGGCCCCAAAGCCACCCAGCACCAGGCTGGGGTGCTGCTGCCACCCACTGGGTGGGAACCACACTGTGGGCTCCTTACGGGTCACAGGTGCAGGAACGGGCAGCTGGGGAGGGCCACGCTCACCCCACCTGAAGCACAGAGGCCCTGCGGTGTGCCCGTGTGCTCATGTAACACCCGTGGAGACATGTGTTAAGGCCGGGCAGTGTGAAGTGGGCCATACACCCATCTAGGGGATGAAAGCCAAGGCATGTGCCAAGGGTTGCCAGTGGGAAGGAGCCTGGCAGGCTGACTCCACAGCCACACGCCCCTACCAATCCCTGGGGGCTCCAGCAACCAAGTCCCCACACCACAGTGCCCAGGCCAGGAGGGGCAATCTCCCAGTCCTTGAGAGCTCTCCCAGAACTCCTGGTGGGGGAGAAGTTTGCAAGCACCCATCAGAGGCCACAAAGGCAAGCTGGAGGGGGTAACAGCGGGCACTGGGAGCCGTGTCATTCCAGGGACATGCGGTGGAGGGGGGCGGTGGGCAGCAGCCCAGACCCCTGAAGGAGCCCAAGCAGGTGCACAGCGCTGTGTGGGGGCAGCTGCAGCAGCTTGCACGTCCATCTGCACACACCTGTGTGCACTTTCAGACACACGGGGCGGCACCTCGAGGGCCTGGCCTGCTGGCCGCAGCCCAGCGCCTTCGCTCACCCGCGCTCTGCCTCCCTGAGCTCAGGCGCCGGTGCAGGTGTGCCAGCGCACAGGGGTCTGGGTGGGCGGTCTCCTTGCTGGGAGGTGACATGAGGGGCAGGGGCCACCTGCAGCTGGCCCTGGGGTGAGGAGGGGGCTCTGTGGAGGGGCTCGTGGCCTCTGACATGAGGATGATGGGCCCAGGGCCAGGGTCTCCGTGTCTGGGCTGGGGGCCACAAAGTCCCTGCGCCTGCACCGGCTGCAGGCTGGCCCCACGGGCGCCGAGCTGAGGCAGCCCCAGGACCTGGCAGATGGGCCCAAAGGGGTAGCAGTGAGCGAAGGAGAGGCGGGCGGGCAGGCGGTGCAGGGCAAGGGACCCAGGCGGGTCAGTACCTGTCACTCTGAGGACACGGCCACCACAACGTTCAGGCACTGTCCATGGGCTTAAACTGCCAGCCCGTGTGGCTGCCAGAGTCCAGGGCAGCCAGATAGCGCTAGGAGGGCCCAGGGTGGGAGGAGTGCAGGGAGAGAGAGAGAGAGAGGGCGGCCTCAACGCCAGGGTCAGACCAAGGCTGACAGGTAGGAGGGCAGCCTGAGGCCTGGGGCCCACATGGCCTGGGGGCACACACCCAGGCCAGCTCTGTGCCACAGGGCACGACGGGACCACTGCACACGCGGGCCGTTATTTCTGAAGCAAGGTGGCCTTCGGCCTCTCTAGCCGTGCTCTTTGAGGCCCACCGCCTCTAGGAAGCCCGCCAGGGCCCCTGGCCTCTCTACGAGCTCCTTTATTTGGTACTAAATCACCCTGTCCCCTCTTCCATGTCTCACTCCAAAGACAAGAGGGGACACTAGGTCCTGCCGGAGGAGCCAGGAGCCAAGACCAGGGCTGAGTTCAGAAAGTGGAGTAGGGAGAAGAGGAAGCAGGGCTAGGGTGGGAAGAGATGCCGGGGCCCTCGAGGAGCATGAGAGCTCACCCAGCCCAGTCTCAACAGGCCGGATACCTGCCTGGGAGCCCCCCCAGGGAGCCCCAGCTGGCCCTGGCGCTGAAGGCTCAGGGCAGCCCCCATGGCTGCACTGTCAACGAGGGCCACATCAGACCATGAGGGAACAGGTGCCCCCCCCATCCCAGGCCTCGGGTCCCCCACCCACCTCCTGCCCTGAGACTTACCGAAGGCGGCGGGGACTCACGCCCGATGAGGGGGGTGTTCTCACAGCGGGGGTTCTGGAAATTGGCATTCTGGCTCCTGAGACGTGAGGAGAGAGGGGCTGTGAGTGACCAGTGGCCACGGCAGTCCCAGCCCTGGGCCAGGGGCCGATCTGGAGCCAGGCAGACCCACGTGTTCTCTCCACCACCCTGCATACCGGCCGCTAGCAAGGGCCTGGGGGTCCCAGGAACCTGGCACGGCCATAAAGGGCTCAGAGCTAGCCCACAGCCGCCACCTGCCCGCCTCAGCCCTGCCAGGGCCTCGGCTCCATGACGTGGTCGGTCCAGCCCTCGGCGACCCCAGACATATACCCTCCGTCTGACGCAGGGGTCTCCTTGGCGTGTAGGGGCAGCAGGCATTCAAGGCCAGCCCAGCACCCCCGCAGCTGGGGCAGCCCCCCCCAAGGGAGGCCCGCGCCCCGCCAGGCTCGGGGCTCACATGTACTCGGTGACCGGTGCGTTGCTGACAGTGTGCGCGGCAGCCGGGATGCTGGCCTCGCTGCCGTAGCTGCTCCCGCAGCTGTACAGGCTGGGCATGTGCACGCGGTAGAGGCTGTCGTGCGCCTGCCGTGGCCCTGGGCCGGCCTCCTCCTCCCCATCCTCGTCCGGGCCTCTGCAGGGAGGGAACAGCCAGAGGTTCCGGCCCTGACGTGAGGCAGCCAGCCACAAGGCCTGCAGAGGGTCAGCCCTGGGGCAGACACACCTGGTCCCAAACCTTCTCGCTGTGGGATGGCGGGCGAGTCACCCGGGGAGGGCAAGAAACATGTACCTCAGTCTACACACAGGCACGCTGCCTGCCTATTAAGAGGAGGGGTCAGGGCCCCTCCTGGGGAAGCCAGGTGCCGGAAGCAGGAGGCCCTCTTTTGGCTCAGCAGTCTGACCTGCCCCTGAGAGCCTGAGCCCAGCCCTCCCCACTGCTTGCCTCTGGCCCTCTGCCCTCCACTCAGCCCAGGCTGCTGCAGCACGAGGCCAGGGAGCCAGGGGCCAGGCCTCTGGGGCTCGTCACACTCTGCCTGGGCTGCCTGGTGGTGGGGGCACAGGCCTGGGCTCACATCCCACCTCCCCCCACCAGCTGGGTCCCGTAGTGAGAAAAGGGGGGCAGAAGCAGCCAGTACCAGCCACGCCCAGGACTGAGCCGCTGCATGCCGTGGTTACCCTAGCGTTCACGGGGTCCTAGGAGGACGTGCTCTCTCAATCCCCATCCTACAAGCAGGAAAAAACTGAGGCCCAGAGTGGTTAAGTCACTTGCCCAAGGTCACCCAATGAGCAAAGGCAGAGGTGGAATCAGAATCCAGGCCACGTGGTTGCAGGGCTTGCTCTTAGCCACTCCCCTTATAGATACCATCTTCATTACTACCACCACCACCACCATCACCATCGTGACCACCACCACCATCGTGACCACCACCACCACCATCACCATCATCATGACCATCCACCATTATGATCACCATCACCACCACCATGACCACCATCACCATCATGACCATCACCATCATGACCACCACCACCACCGTGACCACCACCACCACCACCGTGACCACCACCACCATTGTGACCACCACCACCATCATGACTACCACCACCATCATGACCATCATGACCACAATCACCACCATCATCATGACCATCCACCATTATCATCACCACCATCACCACCATCACCAGAGAAAATAACAGCAGAAATCCAGACAAAGAGAAGAGATCTGAGCTGGGCTACTTGTCATCCAAGCTGGGCCACCAAGAAGCAGCCACAGCCCAAATGGGAGGGATGGTGGTGGGTCTGGGGACTGCCCCATGTGGCCCAAGCATGGCGGGCCTGGTATCCCCATACATCACTCAATCCAGTACTGACTGCGAGACTGAGGCAGGGCTCACCAGCACCCCTACTTCAAAGATAAAGACACTGTGGCCCGTGGGAGGCAGCTGCCGTCCCGGTCACCCAGCTGAGTAAACCTTGGAGGCCAGGGCCATGTGGGGCGCTCCTGCCGAAGCTCAGAGCCCCCCGGTCGGCTGGTCTTTCTCCCAGCATCCCTGCACACTGCACGAGGGGTAGGGGCTCAGAAAAGACACTCTGAGCTCAGCCAGGCAGAAGCGTGGAAGGGTGTGGGGCACAAAGTCAGTACCCAGAGGCAGTCCGCCTGTGCTGGGAGCTCCTCCTCTAGGCTGCTTTCCCGGGGCATGCCAGGAACGGCTGCTCGTCTGGGGCACACCACCCTCAGAGATGACGCGGAGACTATGGATGTCAGGAGGTGAGGAAGCCTCTGTCCCTGTCCCTGGACTAGGACATGAGGTGTCCAGAAGGCACAGCCCCATGTGACTTGGGGCAGGTCCCAGGACCTGCCAGAGCCCCTCACCTCTTCTGCTGCCAGGTGTGCGGGACGCTGCAGACGATGGAGCTGAACATGAGGGCTGTGACGAAGGAAAAGAGGGCCAGGTAGATGAGGCCCTCGACACCGTCATAGCAGAAGCCTGTGAGGGCCTGCACGTAGTCCTAGAGCCGGAGAGACGGCAGGAGAGAGGGGAAGCGCAGGGCAAGATGCAGCAGGTGCCCACGGCAGCCTGGAGCACCCCGCCCCGCCCCTCACTGCACAGCCCGCCCCACGGCCCGGTCTCACCAGGTGCAGGCTCCGGCAGTCCACCAGGGCAGTGAGGTGCTGCAGGTTCACCTCCGTGCCATTCAGCACCTCCTGGACACGGAGCAGGGGGTCCTGGGGGCATGCACCACACTCGGGAGGGGGCCCCAGCCAGCCACAGGCCTCCTCTGCCCCACTCCCTGCCATCGAGACCCCTTCGACCCCCAGTGGTCTCGGCACAGAGCCAGAGGACCCTGGGCTTTGAGGAAGGACGGGCCCTGAGTCTGTGGCCTGGTCTCAGGAGGCTGCCAGGATGTGAGGACAGCAAGGAGGGCGGGCCCATAGCGCCCAAGCGATGCAGCCAACATAAGGGTCCTTTGTTACGACGGGAAAACCACCAACACCCCTGTCTCCCCCCGACATGGACCTGCTTCTTTTAAATACCACGTTTTAAGGAGCAATTTAAGACAAAGGAGATTTTCATGCTATTTTAAATGACAAAACATCATGCAAAATACTCTGTGTGGAGTGAACCTGGTCCTGGAATGTGTGTGTGTGTGTGCATGTGGCGTAAAACCCACCCCAAATCCTTGGGACATGACGGGAAGGAGGGAGGGATGAAAAGGGCCAGACCCCCAGCAGGGCTCCCCAGGAGCAGCGTCTGCACCACGCCTCCCTTTCACGATGAGCAAAGGGGGCCCCACCGCCGCCCCCTCAGCCCCTCACCTTGGTGGCCGGGAGCTCCCGCGGGATGGTCTTCAGGAGCTCGGCCACAACGTCCTGCATCTCCACCAGTGCCTTGTGGCTGCCTGACAGCTTCTGCTCCACAGAGAGGCCAGCTGATGCCAGCAGGGGCTGGGGCAGCCTCTCCCCCGCTCCCTGAGGCCTCCACCCACACACAAGGCAGGCGAGTCCCGGTGCCCCAGGCTCCTGCCAGCCCCAGAGGTGGGGCCTGGCACTCTGTTCTGCAGGCCTGTGGGACACCCCTCCCCGGCCCACCGCCCCCGGCTGCCCATGCACCCCAGAGACAACACAGATCACCGGAAGTACAGCATCTCTAAAGCAGATAAACAGTCCTCAGGACCCCAGAGGGCGACAGTCACGTGGAGTGACAGGTTTCCCTTCAAATTCCACCTGACAACACCCGTCCAATCATTCCACACAGCAGGCACAGGACGCCCCCACTGTGGGGCATCCCTGGGCTCCTCCCACGCCCACCAGACAGCTGACTTGGCCCTGCAGGCATGGCCAAGGACAGCTCAAGAAAGAAGTCCCAGGGACGTGGGGCCATTAAGCATCCACCCAGAACGCTTCTGTTGAGGGTATCAGGACGGGAGCCCCAGGGGTATGACAAGGTGTGAGGAGGGGCCTGGCAGCCTGCAGGTGTCGGTGGGGGGCAGCCAGGGACCAGAGGCTCTGCAGAGCCAGCAGCAGTCGCGCTCACCTGCTGGAAGGGGTTGGCGGCACGCGGCGAGCAGGCCAGGTAGTACTGCAGGACTTCTGCAGAGAGAAGGCAGGGCGGCTGAGCAACACATGCTGGTCGTGTGTGCTGTGTGCACCCACACGTCTGTGTCCATGTGTCCCCATCACGTATGTCGCATGTACGCCTGCTGGCTTGTATATGCGTTTCACGTGTGCACGTGTGTGTGCGCACATATGTGTCTGCACACAGTGGCGTGTGCGTGTGCACCTGTGAGGGGGCGTGGCCTCCAGGGAGCCCAGGGCCCAGACCCTTTGCTCTGAGTCTTTTGCTCTGTGCCTTAAACGGGCACAGCTCTCTCCTGGGGGCAGCCTCCCACCTCCTTCCCCTCTGGAGCAGCAGACAGCACTGAGAGCGGGAAAGGGGTCCGACATCGGCCGGGCAGGCGTCCCCTCATGGGCCAGCTGGGCAAAAGAGTTCTTTGACCAGAGCGTCACCCCAAAGAGGGGGGTGGGGCTCAGAGGGAGCAGGTGGCCTGCTCCCCCCTAAAAAGCAGGTGTTGATTCTGTGTCTAATGCTCAAAGGTGGGGGGACTCACACACAATTCTGACTTTGAAAACCCAGGAGACCCAAGCCCAGCCAGGGTTGAGGAACAAGCCTTGGACCCTGACAACCCCTACCGCCGCCCACCCTGTGCCCTCTGGTCCCTTCGGCACCCAGACTCAGCCCTGAGGCTCAGCTCCTGAGGCCTGGGCTCCCACCAGGCTTAAGTCGGAAAACGTGAGAAAGCACGGCATTTGACTTCAGCCACCTGTAAGTGGAGCCAGCACGCTGCCTGACCCAGATGGCCGTGGCCTACAGGCAGCAGCAAGCACTCTCGTATGGCTGGAACTGCTCATGCTTGCTGAGGCCCCGAGCAATAGGACCTACAGAGGCCCGGCTGCTGGCACCAGGGCCAAGGACAGTGGTGGGGACAGGTGTCACTAGCCCTGCCAGCCCCAGCCGAATAGGCCCACCGTCCCCCCACAGCAGGCAGACAGCCCTCCCTCCTGCAGGCTCCTCGGGCTTATGCGCCAATGGTTCCTTCAACAAAATGAACTAAAACCAGCCCACACGCCACTTGTGTGGCTTTCTTGGGCAAGGAGAGGAGCACAGTCCCATAAGGGCCAGCATTTCAAGGCCACTCCGCACGCCCACCCCTCAGGGAGCGCACCCCTGCTTTCCACCTGGGGAGCACGCAGCCCGAGCCCCAGAGTCCCCTCCTCGTGTGCCTGCCTCCCGGGTGTCTCACACCTGGTCCCCAGCCCCAGCCCTGCTCGGCCACCAGCTCAGTCCAGGGCCCCTGTGATGGCAGCTGCTCCGACCCGAGGCCGGAGCCCTCAACTCGTCCCTCCTCCACGGCCACCTTCCTAGGAAGTTCCATCAGCTCTGCCCTCACAGCACATCCTGGTATCCTCACCCAGCTGTCTCCTGCCTGCAAGAATGCAACAGCCTCCCTGCCTCCCTCCCTCACCCCACTGCTGCTCCAGCGCCCGAGGCTTTGGAAAGGAAGTTTAACCATGGATCACATCTACCTCCTGTTTTCCACCCTCCAACAGCCCCCCTAGAATAAAGCCCAAATTCTTGACTGCCACCTGGCCCTGCGGGCCTCCCCACTGTCTCCCCTCCCAACTGGTCTATTTTCTGCCTCACGAGCACATCAAGTTTGTCTCTGTCTCAGGACCTTTGCACAGCCTTCCCTGGCTCAATTTTCATGCCACTTCTTGGGCAGGCCACCCTGACCACTAGTTCTGAAGCAGCCCTTGTCACCTGCTACCCACCCCCACTGCTGGTCCCTCTTCCCTGCCCCCACCCTCACCCCCATGAGCCTCACCTCCTGTCCTCCTCCTCCCCAGAGTCTCACAGGTGCTCCTGCCTCCTCACCAGCTTCCTGGTCTGCTCCTGCCTCCCCCAAAGAGGACTCACGGGGGCAGGCTCGCTCACTGAGGTCTCCCAAGTCCAGCCCCAGGGCACCCACGGGTACCCAACCGCAGACTCACCCCCGCTCAGCACCGAGTGCTCCTCCACCATCCTGGTCACATAGGTGTCGGGGTCCACACAGAAGTCACTGGAGCCCTGGGGGTGTGGGCAAGGCGGATGAGATGACCATGCTGGGCCCCCTGCCGACCCCTCAGCTCTCAGGGCTAGAGCCTGGGCCCTCATGGCCTGCTTTTGTCTCAGGAAAATGGAGTGTGAACCTGTGGGGGCATTATTGCTGTGTCCCCAGAACAGGTCCCCAGCTCTCTCGGTGTCATCATGGGAGTGGAGATGAGTGTGGTGCCTCCTCACCCCCGTTCCCATGCCTTGGCCTAGCAGATGGGGACCACTCCCCCCAGTCCTCGCCAGCACTTACCACAGACACAGCCAGCTCCAAGCCCAGTGTGCCCCAGCTGATGACCAGGGCCAGGACACCCAGCAGGCAGACCCTTGGGGCAAAGAGAGCCAATCAGCACTCTTCTGGTGGGGGTGAGGGCTGTGCCCCCTGCCAGGCTGCACGCCAGAGGCCCAGGTCCCAGGGCACATCTAGGGGTCCGCCACACAGGGGCTGTGGCTCCCGCCATGGCCCGGCCTTCACTAGAGCTGCCTGAAGGCCGGGCACATATGGATTCCCTCTGAACTGGAGCGGCTAGAGTGGGGCTGAGAGAAGTCCGAGTGGGGACAGGAGAGGCAGGGCTTGGCTCGGCTGGAAGGCCAGGGGACTTCTGAGCCCCACTCCCGTACCCCCAGGCCGCTCTCTTCAGCAGACTGGGGTCCCAGCTCTCACCCTGGCCCAAGGCCTGCAGCCCACAGCGTGGCCCGTGGGGCCCGTCAGCCTGGCGCGGACCAAGCCTTCCTGTGCTCACACCCCACCCGGCACCGCCTCAGACCTCCAGGCAGAGTTCTCCCCTGTGGCACTGGCCCCCTCCTCCCCTGAGGCCTCAGCTTGCCTGTCCCCCACCCACTCCAGCCACTCAGGCCCCTCTGCTGCTCCTTGCACACCCACCACAGGCCCGTGCACTGGCGGTCAGCTGCCCTCTCCCAGGTGTTCAGGGGTCCCTGGCTCCCGTGGGTGTCGGCTCCAGCAGCCCCTCCTGGCCAGGTCTCTCCGAGTGTGCGCGCTGCCAACCCCCTGCCCACCTGTACACCCTGCCCTCCACCTGCTGCACTTTCCTCCCTGGGGCCATCACCTCCAACAGCGGCATGCACACTCTGTGGGAGCCCTTGAGTGTGGGCCTGGCCCAGGGAGGAGCCAGGACGTGGCTGCTGGCTTGTTCAGCAACGAGTGGTGATGTCCCCTCAGAACTGTCCTACAGATGAGCTGTCGTTCTCTTTCTCGCAGACAAGAAGTCAGAGACTCAGTGCCAACAACCACCTGTCCACGGCAGGCAGCTCAGGGAGCCACAGAACTGGGGTTCAAGCTCATACTACCTCTAGCCAAAGAGACGGGGTGGAGAAAGGAGGCCCCCAGCCTGACCTCCCGGAGGCCCCATGCACTCTGGGACCTGGGCAGGTCTTCAGGAGCCTCTGTGGGGGAGGGGCACGGCAGGAACCAGGAACTGCTGGGGCAGGCGTGCCCAGACGCTGGCCACAGGGCAGGGGAGGAGTGTCGGAGCAGGGCCGCACCGTGGGGAGCCCCACCGTCAGGCAGACCCTGTGGCTGGCCGTGAGGATGCGGAGGGTGGGACAGGACTGACTCAGGGGACATGTGCTGCAGGTGACTCACCCCTCCCACTGCCCCAGGGGCCCACAGACTCACCCCACCAGGATGCCCTTGGAGCTGCGGATGAGGCCAACGAGCACCAGAAGGCAGATGGCAACGTCGAGCAGCAGGAAGCCCAGGTAGCCCAGCCACCT